TTTTTTATTCATTGTTTTTCTAGTTTTATAATTTTGCCACTCAACCTAATACAATAAAATAACTAATTAGTATTCATTTATTCTACTAACAGAAAGAAATGAAAAAAATTATTTTGTGTAGTAAACGTCCGATTCTTGTTAAAAATTCTCAGAAGCTTCTATTTTTTAATTAAAATTATTTACAGGCCTGAATCAGTTCAAGTCTATAAATAATTTTAATTAACCGTCAGTGTTAATAAGTTAAGGTTTTAAGTATTTAACATCATAATAACAGAAATAAAAAACAGCAAGTTTATAGGTATGTATTCACTTCTCCATCTACAAAAGCGGCATGTATTATTTATGTATTATCTGTATAAAATCATATTTTTAACAATGTTTTCTAGAAACTGAAAATTACAATAGGGCTAAAATATTATAAAATATTCCATATTTGGTCAGTCTCATTTAGTTTAGTATTTAGCGGGCTTTAACAAATTAAATATTTTTTTAATCATTTAATTCGCAAGTATTACAATATACACAATCTAATTTTAAAATCAATATGGTAGTTTAAAAAAAAGAATAAAAGATAATTTCAATAAAATCCTGCTACAATAAAAATAAAAAAACAAATCGTCTAACAATATTTTATTAGCTTAATTATTACAATTTAATGCTTGTTTTACTGTTCGGTCCATACGGATTTACAATTTTTTCAACGTTAAAAACTAAAGCTTTTATTTATCATTGAAATAAGAGAACGAAAATTGATTTTTACTTTCGTCATTTCCCCGTGAAATTTTTTAAATTAGTCAATAAACCTGTTGTACGATTCCAACAGTTTTATTTTATTACCCAAAAGAAGGGAAAGTCTTAAACACATGCAGTTTAGTGACAATTTTACCCATATGAGTTTTCTTATTGCGACATTAACTCATAAAAATAATTATCATATAAACATACGCTGTTGGCGATTTTTCACGTATATACCTTTAAACATATGAGCAATACAATGAAGGTGTATGTTTTTGTTCCATTCACTAGCTGCTTTCGCTTAAGTTGTGAAAGTCTGAAATTATTTATGGATGTCAGTGAAGTTATTGTTTGTTTTAAAACGCATCTGAATTGCTTGGAACGTCGTCGTTTGCCACAAAAAAGCCAAATACTGTAATTATTTAAACTAGCTTTAAGCAACATATAGTATGAAGTACGACGTGTTGTGAAATTAACATTTAATACATTTTGTAACCTTAGTCTTAGCGACCCTAATTCAACGCTACAATTTAAATAATTTATCCAATGTTCATTGTTCAAAATTCACTTTACTCACTTTGGAAATTTTCATTGTTACATTATAGGTTTTCTTTGATATCTTAGAGAATCTTATAATTGTTACAGTAGTCACTCGGTACTGTGAACATCGCGTAAAAGAAACGCTGTGTAATGTGAACACCATATTAATTTATTATGCTAGACCACCGTATAGCGTGAACAAACAAAGATCGATATTTTAACGTTGCTGTTGCGCCATTTGTGTTAACCCCCGACGTTTGGTACTTCCCCAGTCGTAACTGCAAATCTTGAACATTAGGATATAGCGTAATAGAGAATCATTAGATTATGTAGTAATAACACATTGGGCAAATGAGAATAACGTCGAATTACTGACCTGATAGTTATAAAAAGACTAGGATATTTTATTATTAATATAGATATTTATTACATAATATTAAATTTAACATTCGTTAACGTAAAAAATAGATAAAATGCGAACAACTCCTTTTGTTCACACTATCGAATGGCTTATTATAGATAATAGAAACGTAAGGGATAGGATATGTTCTTTAGGGCTCTCACAATAGTTAAGATTTTATATTGTTATGGTTGTGCACACAAGCGGTTTGGAGACAAAAACTAGTATTTAAATAAACATTTGATAATATTATCAAAACAGAACATAATTAAACATAAAGTTTCATTAATATTCTTTAACTAATTGTTATTTAATGTTTTATTTTTTGATATTTAATATGAAATTTTTGAAGAAGGAGAAAGGTTTCCTTTATTTAAACCATTTACGTCAATACCTAAACATTCCCATTTTAATCGTTTGTAATTAACCAGCATCATTATACAACATCAAAGATATTTGTTTTTGTTGCCAGCATTCACGCAATGGAAAAAACAGTTTTACGAAGTTAATTTTGTTATCGAAACAATCATTTTCTTAAATCGTGTCCTTTTTTCTAAATCACGAAATATAAACAACAGGTTTTTTTTTAAATTAGTATAATTTAACTATTAATCAATCTTTGGAAACGCATTTATGTATCATTTTCAGTAAGTAAATCAACAAAATCATCTATCCATTAGGTACTAGGAATTATTAGATTTTTTTGCTTTAAATATATGTATGTAATTACACTCTTCCAATTCTTAACAAATTTCTTTTATACTAAAAAAAAATTGTTAATGAATGGATACCACTGGTTGCCAATATAAATTGTCTCAAAAAAATCCCCAGTGAAGCGTTAGATTCTCAAAATACAATAACTAATTAAATAAAATTTATTATGTGAATTTTTGAACGTAGTATTTAGTATGTGCATAAATATATAAATAAACTTTATTAATATTCAGTTAATGTTGCTGAAGACCCATTTAGTAGGAGTCTACGAATAAATAAAAAATACTAGAAGGTCAATGGCACAAGAGCATTTAACTGTTTAATTTAGCAGTTTAAGGAGT